GCGCCCTGACAATGCCGCGCGCGCAGATCCTGATGCCTCGCCAGCGCCCAGCTGTAGGCCCATTCCAGCAGCGCCTCGCGCACAAACCCTGATGCCAAGCACCAGCGCCCAGCCTCAGGCCAACACAACAAGTGTCGCACGCGCCCACAGCAACGCGCGCGCAGACCCTGACCCGCAAGACAAAGTTGCCGCCATCGGACTTAGTTCTACCTTGTAATAAACTAAGTCCTTTTCATTGTAATTATAGGCTAGTTTACATCATTTTCATTCAGTGTGCTTCTACAGCTTTATTAGGACTACTCATGTATTCTCAAACGCCAAATGCCTTCTCAAACGCCAAATGCCTTCATTCGGTTGCAAGTATTTGAGTCCCCATATACTTGCATTCTCAACATCTTTAATCAACTTCTCAATCTTTCCCACACAAGTAAGAGGGGGGTGCCCAATACATATTCTACGTTGTACAATGTGGGTCTCAGCTCCTCAATTGATCGAAATGTCTTATCTCCAAAGTATACACAAATTTCTTGATCTGATGGAAAAAAAATAGTACTAATTAAAAATGAACATACAAACATGCACACGCAGATGAGGAAACAGAACCTCTTAATATACATGTTCTCCACTAATCCTACTACTCCCAGCCTTCTAGAAGTGAATCTTTCTCTTGCTATATGGTTATGTAGTTCATATATTTTATTTCCTATCCTTGTAATCGAATGCTAAAAGGACATCAACTAATAAGAAAAGTATTCTTGTTCTTACCTATTATTGAGATGGAAAAGGTGAAAAAACAATCAACTTGAAAATATTAACAAACACCCGACAAGAATAGAATTCAAACAAAAATAGATCTACTTCAATAATAAAGGGAAGTATTAAAGAAATGTTACAAAGGTAACTCAAAAAAGTCACAAAATTAAGATATCCTTCCTTTTTTGCACTCCTAATATTCCATGCTGGAAAAATTTGTTACTACGATTAAGTTTAAAAAATTACCTTGTTTTCATTATTTGACCTTTTTAATTAATACAAACTTCATCGTTTTCTTGTTGACACAAGTAACGCATTAAGTCTCCTTTCCAAGTTTACAAATATTATTTCAGTTTACAGTTAATTTTGAGTACTTCAGCACATTCCTTTTTATTTAAACAAACACACAAAAATTGAAGTATTTCATAGATATGATAATACACATAATAACCATCTTAATATCCCTTTTCCTTTTTTGTATTGCAATCATCATTAATTTAGGAGATGCACAAATACGTCTACAAGTTGCTCATCTGTGATTCTTCCAACTATTTCTCAACTTGGTGTCAGGGTTGACTACCTTTAATTGATTATATTTTCCTTGCTCAGGAACGTCATTAAATTTTGAATTAGATTAGCAAGAATCTTAATAATCTTCATATCGCAATCTGATATCAATTAGAGGAGGTCAAATAAATGAAATCACTCCCCTTTAGAAGATGAGTTGATAAACGACAAAGTTGTGTAAGTTCTAATTTATCAAACAAATGGGTCAAAATCCCACAACAATGGATGGAGCATTAAGACAAAAAGCAGAGATTGATTCTTTAATTAAAGCAAGTTAAATGCTTCTTGGCTAAATTGAAATTGACATAGCATCAGAGGACACTAACAATATAGAAAGCTTATGGAAGATTTTATGTTGGATAAAAAAGTAATTATGATTAATTTGTTAAAAATTTAGATAAATTGATATTTTGGGTTTTGAAGTAAACTAGCCTTTTACTCATATTTTGCTTTTTCAACCCAGTTTTGAAAACGCTTTTTTTGAGCCGATGGTCTATCGAAAAAATCCTCGCTAGGTAGGGATAAGGTCTGCGTACACCCCAGACCCTTCTAAGACCCCACTTATGGGATTCACTGGGTATGATGTTGTTGCAGTTGGATTTTGAAGTAACGAATTTATCACGTTAACTTTCCTAAATTTATTTCCTATATAGTGACATTAAGAAAGTAGTAAATCAATATGCTTCCAAGTTCCCAAGTTTCAAACATGCTCGAGATCGTTAGGAAAGTTTATATTTTAAAGTCTTTGACCTTTTCTATTTCGTTAGAATTATTTTAATCTCTTAAACTCAATTAGAAAGCAATTTGTTAAAAATATATGGAACCACATACAAAACAAATTAATTTAAAAGTCTCCTGTGTAATTATGAACTTGACAGACCTGCTCATCCTACTTTTATACTTTAAATTTCCTGGAATTTATGATCTTTTTAATTAATTAAAGATAAATTTTCATGTATGATGATTTTAAAAATTCAGTAAATCTGATCTTTCCAAGTTAGAAAAGTTTTAAAATTCAAGTTTTTGTCTATTTATATTTATTTCTTATAGAATTAAATTAATCATTTGTATATTAAATTAGATAACGATAAATTATTACCCATCTGTCCCATTTTATATGTCCTCGTTTAATTGGGCGTGGAATTTTGAGAAAGAAAGAAAACTTTTAAATTGTAATCTAAAAGAATATACAGACTTTGTGTGACTACAAAACTCATGAAGAGTAAAGTGAGCATTTTAAAGATAAATTATATTTAAATATAAAAAGCTATCATTCTCATAGGGACAGACTAAAAAAAATTATACCACATAAATTAGGCGGCGGGAACATAAATATGCGAAATATACTACATAATACAACGGTAATTATCTCCGGTTTAATTATAAATTTGACATTCCTAATCATTTAATGTTTAATGTTGAAAACTAGAAATGCCCACTTTGACATTTATGTTTTACTAGGATCTCTAACATGCACAATACCAAATAGTTAATATCACCCAACCAATCACCGAAAACTAATGCATTACTATTACGTTGTCCATAAACTTTCATGATTTTTCTATAAAGTGATAAAATTTTGTTAATAAAGAGCATCAAAACACCTATATACAAGAAGTACGCTAAAAGTAAAAACCTTACAAAAATATAATTGTTCCCTACAAACAACACTCTCTTCTATATAAATAGGAACATCGTGGGTGCACCAAAAGGAAGTAAGTGATAAGAGGTTACTCCTCATGTGTACTAAATCTTTCTCTATTCCATCAAATGTTCTCAGGTTCTTTGCGTTTTGACCCCCTAAAGTATGTGGTCTTTCGAAATTTGCACCATATCCTATGTTTCTTAACAATTTGTATCCTAATCTACTTATTTCTATGCAAAACTCTTTAAAAACTATATTTTTGATTAATTTGAGGCAGAATAGGAAAATTACAATTAAAAATGATGTAAATTTTAAAAAAGCTCAAATCTATAGAGCTACCCTTCATCTTCCTCACTTTACGAAATCATAGCTTATACCAGTGCCAAAACTAGATGTAAAGAGAAACTAGAAGACAGTACTCACTACTTGTAAAAGAGACCTCATATATGCATCACATTCATCACAAACAAAAGCATATATATACCAAGTCTGACACCATAAAGAAATGGTGACAATGGTAATGATTAAAAGCCTAAAACTGAATGGAGATTATTTCACTGTGTAAGCAGTAACAGACATATACGTGCTCAAGATGGTTGGTATAGACAAGAAGCGTGAATAGAAAGAAAAGAAAAGGAACCCTACTTGAGGCCTAGTGTAATAACACTTCAGCTTTGTCAGGAAAGCCGGGGAGGGTGTCAAGTAACTATCACCAAACATATAGATATGCAAAATCATTTAATACCATCCAAATAAACAAGAAGACAGGTAAGGCTGAACCTGATCAAAGTGGATAAGAAAAATAAATAGGAATAGGCATTCCGTATTCGGATATCTTGAAATGCAGCATAAGCCATAAGGTAGCAGAGTAGCATCTGTTTGTGTTAATATCATTTCTTGTCTTTCGGGGGAGAGGGGAAACATTGCCCTTGGAGATCAAAAAGTCCTGTGCAACAACTTAGTAGCCAGAATGCTACAAATTCGATCTCCAATCTCCGCTGCCAACTGATCAATCGACCAATCAACTACTTTGCAATCCTAAACTAGTCGGAATCCACTATACAAATCCTATGTATCCATTTTGCTCTTCTCCAAAATCAATATCCGTCATAGTTGGACTATTTTTACTTTAGCTATCAATCTAAGGCGACCTTCCTCCTTTAAAAAGGTCTAAGAGAGTAAGAGTAGCTCTGATTTGTGGAACTCAAATAGGCAGAGCTTCCCTCATTAGCTCTATTTTGGGAAAACAAAAAAGAACAGAAGCGATCTGGAAAATATCAGACATCCAAACTAGTTGTTTGCTTTTGTAATTTGAATATGATGTTCTGAAAATGGGAATAGATTGCCCGCTTTTTTTCTTTATCATAATAGTACAAACAACTTTATATTTTTATATTTTTTGTCACTTAATTTTCTATGGTTAAACAAAAAAAACTTATGAAAAAAACAAAGAACGCGTATTGTACATCTAGGAAAAATGACTCTGACGAACTTCCACGAATGTCCCTTTGAGGTATAACTAGGCTAAAAGGCTTAAAAATTTATAAACTGTTAAAACACTAGATAAGAATTACTCCAATGCTTTAAAACATCTAAACTTCAACTTAAGTTTAACGAGTTAGTCCTAGAAAGAAGACAAGTGATTCACCTAGAAATTAACCCGTCAAAATGAGAACAAGAAAAAAAGAAAATATTGTTTCAGTAGTAAAAGTTTCAAGTGAGAAGTTCATTACCGGTAAAACAAAAATAGCAGTAGGAAGAAAAGGTAACAATATCCAGAAAAAGAAAAAAGGAAGAGCCAGGAGAGAGTGGGTAAGGTAGGGTAAGCAAAATCATGTAGACTGAAGCTACCTCTATGAAGAATAGGATATACAGTTGATTCTTAACCAAGCATGGAGAAAATAAAATAAGTTTAATATTTAACGATGTTTTTCTCTCAAGCCTTCATGGTGAAATTCATCAGGCATATTATGTGCATGATCTGTATATACCATTATGGAAAAAAGGAACATCTTTGGTTCATGTTACTTATGTAATTCGTTGGGAATTTGTTGACCACAATTATATATAGTTGATGTAGGATAAGAGTTTTATTTTTTTAACAATTTCTACCCATTAAAGTCTAGACATCATGCTCTTTCAAGGCCCACGGAGTATCGCATATCCAAGTCTTCTCCAAAAAGATTGACTCGGATAATTAATATAGCTGAATGTAAGCAAGCGCAACTTCAACTACGACAAATGCAAACAAGTGTACACAAACTGCATGTTTTATGTCATGGGCAAGTATATACAATAAACTAAGATAATAAATTGGGATAAATATTACCGTTGGTAACCTTCTCCAAGACCAATTGGAGCTCAGAAAAACGGAGCAACTTATAAAACTGCAGGTATCCCACCAAAGCCAACGATTGGGAATCAATAGTGGGGAGATCTGATCCGTGCTGATTGACACTCAATATTCTAACGTTTGGTGTACTGCACGGTAAAGGCTAGTTTCATAAAGTTGTGGAATGAGAAGTACAAAGAAATGTGTTTTTCAATAAGTAAAAATCTACATGTACTTGGAAAACTCTGCCTCCATTCTTGCTATGCAGCTTTTTCCTACATGCATGAAATATAATCACTTATGTTCAAACTATGAATATTAAAAGGCAAAAAAACAAAAAAAAGATATCAGATTGACGACAGGAGAAAGAGAAGATAGGTGCGGAATTGGGATATAACAGGAGCGATTGTTAAAATTTGGAAATGGAACTTTAAGTAAAGTGGAGTATTTAACCACCGAAGCTAAACTAAGCCCAGCAATTCTGCACTAGCATGTTCTTCACGTCGTCTTTTATTCAGTTCAACTTCCCCAGACTTAATCAGTGGATAATATATTCGTTTTTCATTTCACACACACCGGCACACATACTTTTTTTTAATTTTCACATGCATGTGTATGTATATGATTTCCACTTTCAAGCATTTTGTAATGTAGTTTCCAATCACTATGTGCATCTATAAGTTGGTATTTTAAATGATTTCCCCCAATTTATGGAAGCTGCCTATGAATATACTGAGTATCTGTTTAAGTGAAACTCAATCCATTTTGTCATAAAAGTATGCAAGCAACAAAATTTAATAAATACTTTAAGTCACAAAAGAGACAGAGTCAGTCGATAAGCATCTCCTCTTAGATAAAAAAGAGTTTTGTCACGAAAGTCAGTTGATTACTGCATCATGATAAGAAATAGAGCTCTTCCCGCGAGATAAGGAGATTCAGAAACACAAATACTCAGGGAAGGTGACTTACGACCGACGGCGACCGGCAGTTGCGTGGCAGCGGGGCAGGACCAGTGGGGATCCAAAGGCGCAAGTTTGTAGGGATTAGGGTATCTAGCCAAAAGTTATGCGAGCCAGTTTTTTATTAGTCCAACTTAAACGACGTCGATTTGCTAGAGTAAGCCGTACAGTAATTTCTTATTTAAGTATCGAGCCAACGCTGGGCCTCTTCTGCTGGGCTATGGTTTGTCTTTGTGACGTGGAAAGAGATTTTTTTCTCTATATACC